CGACGCATTTCACGATGGAGCGTCCTCCGCAGGACAAAACAACACTTTGTATACAGGAAGAAAGGATTGATTGAATAAGTATGACAATGGTACAATTAAACATATTTTGATTAAAGGAAGCAGAATTTCCAATCCTTTGAGACAAATTTCAAAGAGTCAATAATTCTTTCCTTCAAATAAAACGCATTTCGTCGTGTCATTGTCATGTTAATTCAACCACTATTTTCTCTTTATGTACGATTGCATGCATCCAATTAGAAATTCATCTTGTAGTCTTGATCAGGTTGATTCTAATCAGTTATCTGGTTTGTACAAGGTGATGTTATCAGGTTTAATTATTATAATAAGTTCTTAATTATTAACAATTCTTATTAATAGACACCTGATTGCAGCGTTGGATTACATGACTTATCAGGATAATATAAACCAGATTGCATAATATAATTGATTACAGTTAACCTGCCCAGGATCATAGGATGCATTTCTAATCGAGTACTCATATATTATGTAAAGAGTTCGGGGTATCAATAACTTATAAGCGATGCTTCAGTGGATATCACTAAATACGTTATTTTTAATTTTAAATACGACGAGATGCACGCGCGTAAGTAGATCGTGACATACTATAGCGAACAGAGCGTCGCTGCAGCACGGCGCCACATTTTCAGCCGCAAAACTTTAAGCTTCCTGATCCCTCATCGTGGAACTTTCGATTAATAACATCAAAAGCGAGAAAACAAAAAGCCCAAAATGTTTGCAAAAGGATATGTCCGTAAAGTTTACTGAGCACATTCGTGAATTCCAAGAAGTTTCCTTCTGTTCCAACAATCATTGAATAACCGTAAAACTCCTGTGAGAAACATGCAATTTTTCTTTTTAACTTACCTCGTCTCATGATTTTGCCACGTTAACGGCTATTTGTTGATTGTTAGACTTTGAGAGAAACATTTTTGCGGAAAATTTTGCAAATATATTGAATCGACCACAAGTGTCACTTTATGCAACCTTTCATTTCAACGTATTCCGCAAGAATTTTGGGTACATACATCTTCTCGCTCTTCTGACGTCATTAATCAAAATGACGTTTCAACCAAAAGGTTGAAACGTGCGACTCAACATGTACAAGATTATCGTCAATATATCATATTTCTCGGACGAATTAGGAATCAATCTCAAAGCTGCCGTCCCTTTGACGCAAATGCCTCGGCATTAATAATTCTTTTAGCGCGGCGAAATGGGCCCGGTATAGAATTGTCGTCGTCGAGGAAAAATCGACTGGAAATTGCGAGCAAAAAGTCCCGCGGTAGATCTCTCATTCGGAGACTAATGGACCGAGGGGAAAAAGCGTCGCGCTCTAAAGTAACTGGATTACCAACCTGCGGGCGAACTGCAACAGCAGCCGGCGCAGCTGCGGCGATCACGGACGGCGCTACGACGGCGGGTCGTATCGTAGCAGCGGCGAGCGGTCCAGCTGCGACAGCAGCGGTCTTAACCGTGATGCTAGGATCCCGCTGTACGACCGCGTTAAAACCGTTGATGGGATCGGCCGCGTAGGAGACGACGCGACGGCCGCCGTCGGGCTCGATTAAGCTGTAACTTCCCTGGACTACGTCCCCGTTGCGAGTTTCCTCCTGCGCCTTGTTGTCGCCTTGAAAAGTTCGCGTTTATATAATACTCGGGGCCGAGTTTCACGTCGCGTCGCATTCCCGAGGATGCTCGTTCATTGTTTCAACGGGGTTTTCATTTAACTTCCGAGTAGAGATAGTTTCGCCCCTGAATCCTAATTCGATAGAAATCCGAGAGACAGACAGGCGTGGCCGAGACGTGAGGTATCGACGGGAACTCGTTCCAAGAATTTGGAAGCATTTTCGTTTAACTTTAATTATCATGATAATTATCGTTTTTCTCTTAATTATCATGGCCTTCCGCGAATCTACATTGTAACTTTCGCCTCAATGAAAAGTTTCAGCCAAGGCAAAGCTAGCTATCGTTTTCGTCGTAATATCTGATTGCAATAGCTAAGAAAAGTGTTTGTGCAAGCGTAAGTGCACATGTCTTAATCAACACACACGCTCCGCTTTAGCTAGACGATTCTACGAGATTACCTCGGAAGATTCAATAATTACAATTAAACAATCCGCAATATGTGTGTGAATTATAGAAGAACATACCAGTGAAACCATCTGCCACGCTATAACCGAAACTATATCGAGGATGTGAGTCGTAGTTTTCGGCTCTGATAACCGTTGCAGCTGGCTGTTGCGCGACGGCTACTGCAGCTGCACCCGGGCCAATGATCCCAGCACGGGCGACAGCCAGTAAGGCGGCGAAATAGCCGATAATCTGTGCATCAGGAAGGAAATATCAAATATCATCGGTGTGTGCCAGGTGATTAACTGAAATACGGTTTCAGTTAATATCGTCGTGCCGAATCAGCCGTTGCAACAAGTGCGCGCCGGGCGCGACGCGATGCAACGAAATGAAATGAAATTCCCACGTTCTATAGCGGGTCACGCTGATTACGAATAATATCGCCAATGCAATCTTGCGCGAAAGATATAAGCCGCGAAAGCTTATCAATTGAACAAATACGATTTGATACTTATCGAATTTTTAATTCTGCTCAACTGCACTCGTGCCACAATTATTAACAGAAAAAGATAGAACTGAAAATTGAACGAATCTGAGTAAAACACCAAGACTGCTTTGTTACATAGGCAGAGTATTATGAATTATTAAAAACGCGAGAATTATTTCAGTGCGTTATAATATCGTGATAATAGTCGCGAAAAATACGTGAAGAATTTCTAGCTGTTTACATAGAAGCGACAAGTGATAGAATACGGAATATTACTTTGTAAGTCATGATGATCACAGCCGTTGGTATATATCTCTGTACTCGTGAATGACTGCATGCTTTGCGGCGGAGACGTTAGATTTTATACCATTCGAGTTGGACCGTCCCCGCCCTATGAAGAGTATTACATCTGTGTATCTTGCACCCTTCTCTCCCCCGTTCTCATCGAGAGGCCGGTACATGCATCACTATGTGGATTATAGATAAACTGTGACACGCACGAACGTCAAAGTGAAGCCCGATGTACACGTGATATTGCACGCTGATGAAAATTCCAAGAGCTACGTGAACCGAAGAGTATAAATATCTGATAAAAAACGAAGCTTTCTGTTTAATTTAAAATCCTCTCGCAAGAGCTAATATTTCCTCGGCAAAATTAAAATCATATGTGGAATTTTTGCCGCGCTGGTTGAATTTTTACGCTTTATTTGTCTTTAGTATACCGGCGTTATTTTAAAGAATAATAACTAAATGTCGATAATCAAACCAATGAAAATATTGCAACATATAAAACGAGTAATCTGGATCTGCAAATCCTCATATTTTCAAGAAAAAATTTCGTAATTTTTTTAATCCATATAAATAACGACCCAAATTGCAAAAATGTTGTATCAAGAGAATCAATCAGAGACAAATTATCCAAGTCGGTAATGCTGAAGCTTGTATAATTTATAACATGTTAAGAGGCTCTTGTATCTTCGCCGCGGCCATTTTGATTAATGACGTTAGAAGAGCCAGAAAATGTGTGCCCAAAATTCTTGCCAAGAATTCGTCAAAATAACAGATTATGTCCATAAAATGACACTTGTGATCGGTTGAGCATATTTGTAATATATTCCGTAAACTTTCCTCCTACTGCAAAAAAAATCAAAGTCTTAAAATAAATTAACTTACAATAACCTTAAAATCATGAGAAAACGTAGATTCAAAGGAAAGATCGCATGTCATATGATTTATTAATTGTTAGAACAAAAGAAATCTTTCACAAATGTGCTAAACGGATTTCAAAGAGGTCACTTTATGTATTCTTTTATTTCACGGATATGTATTCTTTTATTTCACGGATTTCAAAGAGGTCACTTTATGTATTCTTTTATTTCAGAGTATTTCACGAGAATTTTAGATATGTGTTTTCTCGCTGCTGACGTCATAATCGAGAGTTCCGCGACGAGGGACCAGGAGCCTTAAACTCAAGTCGTGACAAATGATCGTCTCATGCCGTGAATATTTTAATAGGACCGCGAAGGTCTCGTAGCTGCCAACAGCCGGTTGACCTGTAACTATACACCCGATCAAGTCGAGGGTCGAGGGAGTCAAAGTTACGGATCGCCGAAGAGGGCGATCGTATGTTCTACGATGCTGATGTAAGGTAATAATTGATGTCATTGCAACATTGAGTAATAAAATTTCATCCGTATAAGCCGAGACTCGTCGGGCGGATAGACGAACTTTTGATCAAACGCCGGTATGTTTGCTTCATGTAGGTCAAGTAAGTCTAGTAGAGTAACTCGAGGATCCACTCGGAGTCGTATGTTCACACGCCAGTAACTCTACCTGCGCTAATCCACGTGTATATGGCCATACACGCGCGCGGTATTGAGTACGTTCGACCACGTTCTCGTTGCGGAGGCGATTGGTGGCCGTCGTCCGCTGGAAGGGATTTCGTGTTCCCGATATAAGGAGGGTCGAAATTGTATTCGCCGACATTGTGTCCAACGAGGAACGACTGGCCATCGTAGCCACGACGGTGGCTGCGAAGCAACTGCGCGAGCGATTTGTCCGTTTCAGCTGCGCTACATTTTCTCCTCCTGGAACGATACCCCGATATAGTACGGGTAGTATCTTACGAATAATCCGTTCAACGTCGCGTATACCCTCGTGGGAATATTTTCACGATATCGTCGTCTCTCGTCGGATTTCTCGTCAGCAGAAGTTGCAAAATTGTTGGAACAAGCTTTCACCCGCAACGCCCGTGATGCATAGATTACAATCAGAGTACGACATATTTGTCACATCGAAATGCACCGCGCATTGCCACGTCGCACTTCTCTTTTCTTATCACGAGCTCCGAACATAACTAATGTAACGTGATTGAAACGGAGGGGGAAAGGTGCGGGTGGCAGAGAGAACACGACACAGAGCATTATGGTAGAGAAACATCACTTTGATACTTTACACATCCTTTGACAACGTGATTTTCTCTCTCTCTCTCTCTCTCTCTTTCTTTTTCTCTCACACATCATGCACACACACGCACGAGACACATACACCACCGATATACGTATATTCCTGTTGTTTCTCGTTCTCGGGCTTCAGCAGAAACGCATTTATACCAGCTACAACAACGATCAACAGCCAATTCAAGCGCGCGGTTACGCATGTCAAGAAGGATAAGTCCGGAGCGTTATAAAAATTGCGGCAGAAATCGTTCCAACTATTCCCCTGCGTGGGACGTATCCTCTCGTATAAATTACATGTCTATTACAGACCACGCGCATCGGAGCACCATGCCGAAAGATACTTCGTAAGCCTTATCAGCGGAGCATGCACAAAGCTGTCGGCTCTTCCACACCGAATTCTCCCGAAACCTATCGGCTTGATATATTACACATCGCGTCTGTAAATTGACACTGGAGGATCGGAGCTGACGTATTATTCCCGTTCGGGAAAACCCTATCAGTATCGCTATGTGGCTAAGTAGCTATGTTTAACCCTGGAACACACGCAGACGACGAGCACACATTGTCCCACATGTGGTATGTGTTCTCCTTTCGATGTTTCGCTCTCGACGGTGAAATCAGGACTTGCATGCAGTGAGCTCCGGTCGCTTTGCTTGTGGTCTCGCGCTTTCGACGAACGTCACGAAAATATAAAGCACGCACCGGTGATTTATTTGAGGAAATTTCATAACCGATATCTCAACGAGAGCACGGTAGGTAACGCGCGGCAACACGCCCACTCGTCTTCTTTTTTCAGACGCGGCCGCTCGAGGGTTAATTTAGGCATTGACCGGGAGAACACGTAAGCAATCGATAGGATTCCTTTTCACCGCGAAAACCGCGATTTCGATTAGAAAATACGATCGTGAAGAGAAGAACATGCGCACGCGTGTACGAGTCACACAACATTGTTGCGCCAATGTTATATTTACATTCTTTTTACATTTACATAGTGTGCAACAGTCGCCACGGAAATAAAAAATAGAAAAGAAATGGGTCGAGAATATATTTTCTTTTTTGCTTTCTTATGCGTGTGCGTGTGTCTGTTATATTTCTCTTTACCACTACGTCATCATCATCATTTTCATAATGATAATTGTTATTAGCATCGATAGAGCACTTCTCGGTAAGTGAAAAAAAGAAACAAAAATTGAGAAGTTGTTAATAGATTAATCGCATTACGTAATATTTATAAACAGGCAGCGAGTCACGTCGTTACATTAATCGCATCTAAAAGTATATGTATATATATAATGTGTGTAAAAAAAAATATGGAAATGTCTTTTTTCAGAGTTTTGTTTTTTATCCACCCGTCACCTAACAGGCCACTTTGCGCAAAGGAATATATTTTACTGAATTATTCACAAGTGTAACTCCTTTTAATATATCAATGCTGTTAGGTATGTCTCCCCCCTCCCCCGCTACTCAAAACCTTAAATCTCTCGTTCGCAATATCGATATACGCATCGAATCGCAAACGCGTAACAAAAGCGAACCGCGCATTAAATTTGTGCGTAGTCATAAACTAGATTTGATTACAATCTCGCAATTTCTTCACAAAAATTGCTAAAAATATTCCGTTTCGCAAAAAAAACATAAATAGGCCTAAATTATGTTTTTTACCTTGAAAAAATTCCATAATTAATTATGATTCATGCTATCCCTTTCTTTTACATGCTTCATGAATATAACATTTTCTTTACTACATAATCGTATAACTTTAAAATTAAAACTTTAAAATAAAATAAAAATCTATATCTAATATTAATAATGCTCTTATACGCATGAATCAAATATATATGGTATAATTTGCGAAACGGTAAATGTATAGAAATTAATGTCGGATTATAATTCGTAAAGAACACAATATTTCTCCACTTTTTCTCAACAAATGCGCGTTAGACACGTTAATGACTAACACATAAATCAAGCAGAAAATATTAAATAAATTAATATGTGATTGAGTATACATATAGCTGAAATATTTAGCTCAAAAATTGTATCGAGAAAACCCTCGATGTTTACGCGATGTATAAAATACGCAATAGCATGCGCGCGACAGATGAGCGAACTATGCTAAATTATAAAAGTAATTACAGGCATATCTAATCATATTTCAAACATAAGCGTAATTATAATACATATAATGCTGATCCTTTTATGCTAAAACTTTTTTTTTTTTAGTAGTATTGTCCTTATCGAGAGAAGCGGCGAGGACACGTCAGATACCTCGTCGGAATATTTTCAGTTACGGAGCATTACCCTGCACTCTTTTTCGGTAATACTTAGGTTAAGATATTCATAATAACAATAATTTATTTCGCCGTTATGCGTTATATTATAGACTATGAAGGTAAACGCTTTTCAAGCACTTTCTAACGAGCACGAAATAAATAAACTTCCCCAACTGTTCACATAATCCCTTATTCTAAAGAGAGTATCAAATACTCACATTGGTATCCGGAAATTTAATGGCATTCCGTACTTGGCGGAACTCAGAAATGATAAAAAAAGCCGTGTCGTAATTTATAGATTCGTCATTTGCCTCCAAATGAAATCTGGTCGATTTAGCATATCATCCACATATTACATCCACTCCTGTTTCTCTTTCTCTCCCCTTGATAATGCAACATAACAACTATATATTCATATGTTCCCTGTAATACCCATGCAATCTTCCTTAAGTCTGCGACGGGGACGTTTTATATTTATTTTCTCGTTTTGATATATAGTAACGCGGGTTTTACAAGCTATGTGTTTATCCGTTAATAAGCTATTACAATCGGAACGGCGCGCGTTGTTCAATTGGCGTGGGCTTTCCTTTCCTCGCGCTCGAAGCGGTGCCCGACACGGACGTGTCGGATGCTCCGGAGGGTTTCCTCGATAATTTCGAGGACGGCGGCAACGGCGTGCTAGATCCACTGGACGGTGTGCGTACCCTGAAACACACGATCGTCGCGTATATGAGCGGACGCGCACGCGTAATTCGTACGTTTACCTTCCAGCACATATTTTGAAGCCGTTCAAAGTGCAAAACGGTACTGATACACCTTTCCTTAGCGAAATTTTCAGCGAACGAGCCAAGAAAAGGGAAGTGATAAATGATAATTAATACTGATGTTTACCTAGTTTGTTTAACGGCTGATGGTATGTTAGTCGCTGAATTTGTACACACGGAACTGCTCCTGGCATCGTGAAAGAAAACGTTGTTAGTTAAAAGGTTTAAGAACTAACAAGGATTGCAATCACGCAAACGTATTAAGGAAGCAACGCAATAGAGGACAAGATCAAAGTAGGAATACACAAAAGTACTGCTTTCGTCAAATGTACCAAAAAAGCAAAAGCCGACATGACAAATTAGTTTCTAATGGAAGTCTTCGTGCCGGTCATATTGGTATCAAATGTGAGGAGCACACAATATTCGAAGAAGGCCAAACCAAACATACGACGAGTGTAAGGAAAGAGAAAACGAATGTGAGAAAGAAAGAAACGGGTTACGTATGTAAAAGCGCAAGTCCAGCCATACCCAGTGGAATCAGTAGAGATCGTAGAATGGTTGCTTTGGGTTGAATGAGTCGACATATTGCTGGTGGTCGACTGAGGAGATTTTATATCCACCCCCACATATACGGGTATCCTAGAGCGGCTAAGGCATTACCATCGAAACGGAGTTATTTGATTGCACGAACAGTACACCGTGTTACATGAGTACGAGAATGAAATCTGTTACCACGCGAGAGTTGCATCGACAAAGAGAGAATAAAAAAAAAAAGTGAATATGGTCGACTCCCAACAAAAGCTGAGGGGGAATAATGATAGTAAAGAAACAAGCTTAAATATGCCTGAAATGTGTCACTGTCACCACGACCACAAGATGACCGTTTACAAAAGCGATTCCCTGCACCATAAAACGTTCCGCAGCGTTCTGTATTGCGCTTTGCCATTTGCTTGGTTATTTCTGCAATTTTCACTTATTACAAGACAGAACGCATAACGAAAGCCGCGGAATCGCTTCCTCCGAGCCAGTTTTACGCGAAAATGCCGATTCGTTAATCTGCTTTACCTGATCGGTGTTCCGACACCAGTCAGGGTTGGAATGCTCGAAGCTCTATGGATTGAGCCAAACCTAAAAAATGTTGTTAACCAGATCCGTTAATGATTATTGAGAAATTATCAATCGATCGGTTAGTCGCGAAAAATTTTCTGCGGTTAACACGAAATGTAGTGGTAAGGCGGCTCGATCGATCGATATGTGATAACGTCGCGTGTTCCGAGTCCGTCGAATTTTGTTTCTTCAAATTCCTTCATAATCTAACACCTTGATGATACTTGATATTGTAGTGCGTGTGAATCGCAAATCGTAGAGTCTCTCGATAAACAAAATGCAAAAAAAGAAAATAAACAGAACAGAAAAGAGGGAAAAGTCATTCAGTGAATAAATAAATAAAAAAGAAAAGGAGCCATCAATTCACGGAAAACGAACATATCGAACATTCCTCGAACTATCGCAATCAATTCGACGTGAGAGATAAGATGCTACTGCTCGATTATTCGTTAATCTATGCACACGTAACTAGTTATGCATATGTCCTTCTTTACGTACGGCACGCTATAATGCGAGTTAGTGTTCCATGATCTACTTTAAAGTTATGTAGACGGGAAATAACTTAGTGGGTGACTAAAGGCCGCATACCTGGAAGGCACCCCACTTGCGGGGCTAACCAATCCGGTAGGGGTGCGAGGTCGAGAGCTCGAGCCGTTCATCGGAGTCGCGAGCTTCCTGCCGGATATGCTGTTGTGCCTGCTGGACGTCGGAGTATTGCCGGAGCCCACGATGGTCCTTCGTGGAATGCGACTCGGGGTGCACGAATCGTCTGTAACAACACGGAGGAGGAGGTGATTAATTTTTTTTCAGTACACAAATGAACCTTGTAGTATCTACAAAAAAAAATACAGAAGAAAATAAGACGAAAGCTATTCATGAACTATGCGTACCGTCCAATGATTGCGTAGATCCATAACGACTAGGTGGTTTGCTTCCTTGTCTCGACGCAGGTCGGCTGTTCGGCCTACTGGCAGGTCGTGAGGCAGGTCTTGAGGTTGGCCTGCTGGATGGACGGCTACCACCTGTAAGAATCACAACACGCTCGATCGTAAATGATGTCGTATTGATATTCCAATTAGATATTATAATTTAATTATACTAAATATTCCTATTACGTCCAGATTACTATTTAATTGTACCAGACGCTCCTAACACGCCTAGACTAATTAGATTAATTTATAATTAAATTATACATATAACATGCGTTTTCTCACTGATAAATGTTTCATTCTTCAATCAGTTTCATTCTTAAATGAGGCTCACCGGGCGTCACAGTAGATCTGTAAGGCGTGCTGGTTTTCCTAGCGGATATCTTGAAGGAACTTTCGTTGTCGCTAAGGCTGTCCGGCGTGCCGGCGCTCAAGGATGAGCGCGAAGCTCGCGATTGACCCATAGGTACACTGCGAGCGCTGCGTTCTCTTACCTAAGTGACGAAGAAATTCTCTCAATAAAACACACATATGTAAACACAGGCGCGGAAACAGAAAAAAGCCATTGTACATCTAATACATGTCCAATACGGGTATCAGATATAGACATAGAGCTTGTACGGTTTTGTGTTACGCGTTCTCTGCCGCCATAAACAATAAGTAATTAATTTATTATTAACGTAATTGCAAATACACGCTGTGTGCAAGTCACGTCGCGCGCAGTACGCAAGGTTAAAAGCGCTCTTTATGAATGTTCCTCGAAACTATCGAAGAATATCTTTCCGTTTCGATAATTTTCCATGAATGTGTTGGGAACATGTAGCAAAGATGAAACATTCCAAAAATTATCTAAATTAATCAGCTCGAGGTAAACTTTTGACAACTTTGACATAGTAACAGGAAAAACATACAGACGCTCTCTGCAAAACTACCATAATTCTAATTTTCTCGACTACGATCGCTATTAAAACGAAAAAAATAAAACAAAAAAAATGTCGAAAGAATTATTTTTCCGAGGGTTTTACTCGTCACATGGATCCGTAGAGAGACCCGTTGTCGTGAAAAATTTAACAAGCAACTCAAACTTGTGCACAGCCGCGAACTAGTAAAAATAGACCGGTCAGCGGTTTGTTTACGCTCGTCGAAGCGTTGTCACTATCGAGATCTACTGCGAGATTGAAAGAGTATATATAATAAAAATAAAAAAAATAAATAAAAAAATAGAAAAAAATACATAGCTACCACACTCATCAAGATTGTGAGCGAGTGAGTAAGTGAGTGAAGCGAGATGTCATGCGAGAACTTACCAGGAGAAGTTGGGAGAGATACAGTAGCTTATGGTGATTCGAGGTATCCCCGATCAATGCCACTACGCACGCAGCAATACAGGACACGGACATTCGTTATGCATATTCATGTTCAATAAATTAACTACGTATCCACGATGTCCGTTCGCTTCGCCGTACGCGAATAAATGCACGTTCACCCCGGCAAATTATAATTATTATATATGCGATCAAATGCATAATTATATACGCATAATTATTTGCGCGCGGATTCGTCGCTCGAGGTCTGTGTCATCCACACGGACATTTCAAACGAGACGAAAAAAAAAAGAAATCAATGAGCGTTCTCTCTTCATGCTCAGATCGAGACAGGTCGGGTCGATCATTCTCTATCAAGGGGCCAGGGGGTGGTGGGAGTGGCAAGGAAGTTGTTCAGAGGCGTCGAAATAATTCTCTGATACAAAATCAGATGCTCGACGATTAACTAAAGAGAAAACAATTCGATGCGAAAGTGATGCGATGCGGATGATGATGCGACGAGGCGTCCTCTCGTCGTTGTTGCATTCCGCGTTATTATCTACGCAACTTGCGGGGACGTGCTATCGTGAATCTATCACGCACACGGTACGGGGTAACAAATCGGATCTTATACATTCGAGGCACGTGAGATATTCTCGTCATGCGTCTCTGAGGGAAAAAATGGGTAGACGCGGAACGGGAGTGAAATGACCGGATATGTACGATAAAATGCATTAGACGGATCTTCTTTCTTCCTTTTTTTCCTTCGTTCGTTCCGCGTTCCATTTCCACCCATTGCCCTTTACATTATTCAGCTCATCCTCGAATTTGACACGGCTTTTTGTAACATGCATCTCGTCGCGCAATCAATTACGGTTGACGTAAGAGTGGTCGAGACACTTTTGGTTTAGTAGATATAGATAAGATCTACAAGATTCGCTTCTTTCTTCCGTATAAATTCCCATATAAATCAATAATGACAATGTGACAATATACAGTAAAAATGTTCAGAATTTTGCTGTCGCTTCTGCAATTTATATAAGAATTTATACGATGTTTCTCTGTTCAATTAAATTATGAATAGACGGAAGACTAGCAGAGAGGAAGAAAAGGAGACTCAAAAGCAAGGCACAAAAAACGACACTCCATGAAAACGCATATCATACTCCCGATCGACTCGCATTCGAAGCGAGTCGTGAGTTAAATGTGTCGTAGCCGCACTCCAAAAGAAAAACCCAAACTCGAATGTGTCAACGTACAACAGCACACCGAACGACAATAGAAAATCTGAGAAAATCTGCTTATTTACCCAATGGTAAGAGGGTGCGTGCATGTGAAGGGGATACGAGCACGGGAGGTCCTCCTTTTGCCTCAAATTCTCAAATATCGGCATCAGCTGGCTCATAAACTCCTCCGCTACACCACAAACGAAAATCTTTAGCTTCCTCGCGCGATCACGGCGATCCTGCGGTTTTATCGGGAGAGACTGGCTCTTCTCAACGAGAGCACAGGGTATCTCCGAAAGGAACACAGCTACCCCTTTGTATTGTCTCTACGCTAAAATAAACCGCCGATCGATTCGCAAAATTGTGTGAAACCGTGCCTCCACGATCCACAGTGCGGCAATTTTCTCGATAAAATTCCTAGGTTCTCTGAGGGATGGGTGGTCGGTATGGAGGCAGGAAATGTGACTTCCCTTTCGCCGTTGCGAAACGACCAGGATGGAGAGGAGTCGCGGACAAAGTGGGCAAAAACATCTACGAAATCGCATCTCCTGAGGTTGTGGGCGAAGAGCTCGGGCCGCGGACACGACCGGGTCCGGGTCTTATTAATTTACACGCGAGTCGTGTGTGCGCCGATGGTCGAAGCGCGCTTTTTGCACGCGACCAATCGACCGATGATGAGAATAGACAAGCATTATCTACGTTATCTAGCTGGCTACGTGTCCAATACAACGCAACTGCCTGCGAAACTGCCATGCTCATGCGGAAGTCATCAAACGACCAGGCTGGACGGGGTTTCGGAAGAGTGTGTTCGTGTACTTACGCATATCATCGTCGACGACGACGTCGGTGGAGTGAGAGGTAGAATCCGGGTAAACGTGTAACGTGCAATTCAACTTTCCCAATGCGACTTTCCACATAGTGACACTTGAGATCTAATACACCGACTCGACCGCGTCGGGCTCATGAATATTCTACGATTTTACTAATTGACGATTTGCTAATTAACGGCAGAGAAATAAAGGGTTCCGCGGGGAATGAATACCGTACGTGCTGTGACGTTCGTACACGGGACGTTTCGGGAGACGTTTGCGTCGAATTGCGATTCACCGTGGAACACACAGTCGACGATGATTCGACGCGAAGCTCGCGAAACATCCCAGTGTGCGACTCGAGTAGAGCGTTATAACAGGAGATAGCCAGAGCGCACAACCGACAGATCGTGAGCGCGAATTCGCGACTTGCGGCTCTCGCGTTCACCTCAGCCGGCGCGAGTTGCGCGACGGTGACCTTCTTACCTTGGTGATCGGTCCGGCATTGGTGGAGGACATTTGCGTACGCTGCAACGTCGAGGTCGGGCTCGGCTTGGATCGGAAGGCCGTCATAGTCTGGCTAACACCATCCGCCAGTATGAATTGCTCCCGCAGCTCGATATTCGTTCTTCCCTTGGCTACAGTGTGTTGCGTGCACGCGGTTAAGGGAAAAGGCGTTCGGGGACGCGGGGTCATGAGAGGAGGTGCCAGAGAGAGATTGTTATTTGTACAGAAAATTCAAAGAGAGAAAGAGAGAGAAAGAGAGAAAGATAGAAAGAAGGATAGCGCAAACGTATGATGTCGAGATATGATAACGAACGCGAGAACGGTACCGAGTTTAGATCGAAAGAGACGAAAAACGAAAAATAAAGGAAGCGGAAAAGAGATACATAAATATCGGAACGGCAACATCCGGAACGAGAGTCGTGAGTTGTATGGAGAGTGGAAGGTGTAACGATATATATATATATATATATATATGTATATATATTTTTTACAGATTCACAATATCAAGGCATGCACGTTTTAACAATGAATAGCGGCCGTAATGAATAGGAAAATTACAGTTTCGACAGAACGAAAATGAGAGAGAGAGAGAGAGAGAGAGAGAGAAAGAAAAGGCGAGAGAGCGAAAGAGAGAGAGAGAAAGAGAGATGTTGGTTGTACACGATATGCGTGCGTTTCGAGTGTATGTATATGTGAATGTGTGCGCATACGTGTATGTAGCGTATCCAGGTGTATTTTTGTGTATCATGGAAAAAAAAAGAAAAGACAGCGTATTTAGAATATATAATCGAAACAAATTTCTAATATAATAACTTCAAGCTAATCAGAACAGTTACTCGACAAGCTTTACGTCACTATATATATTCATTGCATAAAAAAGATACAAGAGCCAAAAAGATAAATACGCTATTCTGCCATTGACTCAATTTTATAAGACAATACTGATAATAATGATACTTAGTGCTGAAAGGATTCACGTTATAAAATGTGCGACCGATGAGCGATGTGATCATCTCGAGAACCTTATACATGCTCTCTTTATATAGATAATATAAAAATATATGATTCACCTCGTCATATTGTCGTACATTTCACGATGTAAGCAATTAATTTACACGATATATATCCTTCAAAATTAAAAGCCCTTTGGGAGATTATACTCTTAACCATGCCAAAAAAAAAACCAATTCCGGTTAATATAATATTTCAATGATAAATAGGCTATAGTTACAGGAATGAGGGATTTGATAAGTTTATATGTACAAAAACCCGCCGCGCTTTGTAACGGTAATAAATAATACTAAAATTCACTAAACATGCATTGGTTCACTTCTAACAATTCAGATTTCTACAAAGGAGGAAAAAGCTACCAACAAACCTAAAATAAACAAATAAATAAAGAATGACTCACATCAAATATTAGTACAGGAATAAAGTGTTCACACGGGAAATAATCAGAACCATTACCGGATAGCCCTGCGTTTAATGTGTTAACCATTCACCAAAACCTAAGAAAACTGGAAAACTGTATAACAGGGGAACGAAAGCGTCACGAATGCGACACATACTACGTTCGCAATCCCGTCTCGCAAAAATAAAGGCATTTTTGTTCAACACACGACACTTCAACGAAGAGAGGCAGCACTTGACATTGCGCAACTCACAGCGTCAATTTTACTTACACAAACTGTTTGCCTTGTTCACAAAAAAAAAAAGATAAAAAAAACGATAATTGCCAATATTCCATTGTTTCATATAAATGCAACCGCACAAAGGCACGCATATATAGACGCACTAAACAAAAAAAAAAGAGACAACACTTGAAAAATCAGTCCGAACAAGCGAATAACATCATGCACCATACGTAGGGGATTTCACCTTCATGGTCTATACTATACAACGGTCACCAGAACCTTATCGTAGTTATTGTCGGATACGTCACGTAATAAGTATCCAACGCAACGATGAATTCCAACAAATCCTCATTGACGATCGAGCATACGTTTAATATCGGCGTATAGACCATGAGCGAATTGTGTGCACGTAAAACAGTTCTCACCGAGCGGACACCAACCCTCATGTTGTTCCGGTTTGTTAGGATCCGGTATTGGCATTAGAAAAACTTAACGAGTTAATCACGATTCGAGAGACAGAGTCAATTAGAAGAAAGAGCGAGGTGTAAGTCATGCATTTCGCGCGATTCGAGCAATTTGCGAGTCGCGTTTAGCGGGACGCGTTCGAGAGAAACGTAAAAACGAAAGAGACATCGAAATAAAACAAATAGAAATATTTTGTCGTAGAGATGGACGTATGGATGGAGATGAGAAGGATGTGAGATACGATGGATAGTAAGGGATAGTTATTACGTTAATGTTAGTACATAGTCATCGACACAAGATGTGTTAGATATGCCTACTATAATATTACCTTCTACCTACTATCCGTGAAACCATACTATCCCAGAAAAGGTTTCTCTCACGGAGAGTTAACGGCCAGACGACCGTGAGATCGATACTCCGGAATTTACTAATGACGGAAAGGTGGAGATAGACAGAGAAAGAGAGAGAGAGAGAGAGAGAGAGAGAGAGAGAGAGAGAGAGAGAGAGAGAGAGAGAGAGAAAGAGAGA